GTTTTGGCTTCCTTACCATAATTTTTAAATTTAAATTTTACCTATGTATACACACACACACAAGTAATTATCAATTCTATTTTCCCTACATCGTTAGCTAGTTTTCTCAACATCATTCATCAAGCAAACTTTTCCATAGGAATTCGTGATTCTCTATGGCATGCTTCTATCTATTCTGTTTCATTGGTCCACTAATCTATTCCTGATTGATAATCATGTCATTATTGTTATTCCTATCCAAGATATTTTAGTGCTTGCTAGGGTAAGTACCTATTCTTTACTCTTCTAAGATTTCTCCTAGCAAGTTATCTCTCTCAAAAATTGTAGAGTTCTTCTAGAAAATGATATGGCCAGTAGAATAAGCTAGACAAAGAAAGTCAAGTACTTCATGTTCTCATTTATATAGACAAACTAAAAAAGCTGATCTCATAGGACAAGAGAGTAAAGCAGTGAGGTATTATTGTCTAGGAAGGGTAAAGATGAATGAGGTTTAATAATGGATACCAAGGTACAGTTAAATAGATTAGGTTCTAGCATTCTTAACACAGAAAGATAGATACTTATAGTAAGTTTTTGGTAACATGATATTTGTGTCTGATTTTTTTTCTTTATTTTACATTTCATAAAGAACTAGAAATACAAAGGCACCAAATACAAAGACATAATCTATGTTCACCCTAGTGGTTATTATGCATATTAAATTATCCCATTGTACTCCATAAATGTGTGTAGTTATTATGTATCCATTAAAAATCAACTTCAGAAAACTACTTAAAATTTTTAGTTCTTAATTAACATGCACTTTAAAAATGAAAGACAGAAATGCAAAACAGGACCTGTCACTAATGGGAAAGGAATGGGTGAAGAATAGTGACTGTGGTCAAAATACTATATGTACTCATTTAAACATGGAACAATAATGCTCATTAAGATTGGTTCAGTAAGGAGAGAGGGATGAAGGAGAGTGATGGAGGGGATGAATCTATTGAAGTATATTGTGGTATATTTTGGTCACATCAAAATGAAACCCTCTTCTACACCTAATTCTATTTCTACTCCAAGACCATAATGAGCATTAGAACCTAACAAATGTGAGAGAAAACATATAAAAAGAAAAAGAAAAAAGAATTTTTCTTTAGTTGAGTCCCCCAAATCCATCATCTCTAAATTGATTTTAAGTTAAATTGAACTGAAAAAAAAAAAATAAGGGAAGATCGGGTGGGGGGAGAAGGGGAGTATGGGAAGGGATGGGAAGGAGAAACAAAGAGGAGACAACAATGCTTGATAAGAAATGTACTCGTTATCTTGCCCATGTAATTGTAACCTCTCTGTATGGTATTCTCACAATAAAAAAGAAAAAGAAAAAAAAGGAAAAAAAAGAAAAGTGTAAACCCAATTAAAAATAAATAAATACATACATACATACATAAGGAATAATTGACATCTTTACTTACCTTTTAGTAGATTTTTAAGATTTTACTGCTAATTATGTTATTCATAGGAAAATAGATGGAGGGCTGGCTACCTGGCTTAAGTGGTAGAGTGTTTGCCTAACAAGTTTGAGGTCCTGAATTCTACCTCAGAACTATCAAAACAAATAGGAGGCTGGGTGCTGGTGGGTCACACCTGTAATTCTAGCTACACAGGAGGCTGAGATCTGAGAATCGTGGTTCAAAACCAGCCTGGGCATGAAAGTCTCTGAGACTCTTATATCCAATTAACCACCAGAAAACCAGAAATAGCCCTGTGTCTCCAAGTGGTAGAGTGCTTGAGCAAAATAACTAAGGGACAGGGTCCAGGCACTGAGTTCAAGCCCATGACTGACCAAAACAAAACAAAACAAAAACCAGAAACAAAAACAAAGAAAGCAAATAGGAAAATGGATAGGACGGAAGTCATCATGTTAAGTAAAATAAGGCAGACTGTTGAAGAGAAATATTGTGAAAGAGAAATATATGTGGAACATACACAATGTATTCATGTCAGAACTTGGGTGGGTGGACAATTTGGAGGGAAAGGGGAGGTAGAGTGAAAGGAAATGGCAAAGGGGAAGTAAATATGATCCAAATACTTCATACACATGTAAGAAAATAGAATAATGAAACTAGTTAAAAATTGTTTGAAAGGGGGAAGACATGAGTGAGTAGTAGAAAGGGGAAATTGGATTATAACATATATGCATGTACGGAAATATCACAACGAAATTGCTTTGTACATTAATATACACTAAACATACACTAAAAAGATGTTGTTTCTAGTAGTTTTTCATTCTTAGGTAGATTAATTCCTAGATATTGTGCAGAGTATACTTTCAAACCATTTCTCTTTTTGGGGGGGGGGGAGGCCGGTAGTGGGGCCTGAACTCTGGGCCTGGGCACTGTCCCTCAGCTCTTCAGCTCAAGGCTAGCGCTCTACCACTTGAGCCACAGCGCCACTTCCAGCTTTTTTCTTTTTGCTTATGTGGTGCTGAGGAATCGAAGGTCTCAGGCATGCAAGGCAAGCGCTCTACCACTGAGCTACCTTCCCAGCCCCTCAAACCATCTCTCTAGTGCTGTTCTTGAAAAAAATCAAATGTTCATCTTGTTTCTGGTTTTTTCTAAACAACCTGCTTTTATCTTCCCTAGAATTATTTCCTTTTACTTTAATATGCCAAATCTTGGCATTTTCTGTTTTGCACCTTTTGTTCAGTACAAGACCAAGTCTGTTAAGTCTGTCCTTCATTGTAGAAGAATTTTAATTAACCTCTCTTCAAATATTTAACTTTATTTTTTCTCTCCATCTAGTTTTCCTATTAATTATATATTGATAGTTATTCTAGTTTTCATATCCTTTAATTTGTTTGTCATTTTTCTAATTATGTATGCCTTTTAGAGGACTTCTGGGAATGTTTCTAACCCAACTCCTTCTCATTAATACTTTCATCAACTGTATTCATTTAACCCATGAATTAAGCTTTCTATTTCTACTACATCTGATTGTGGTTGCTTCTTAATAACTCCTTATCCCTGATGGTTTCTAGTGTCCTAGCTGCCCTTGAGAATATGCATTAGTATTATTGTACATTCTTGTTTTCTCTGGCTCATTAGGTTTGTTCTCTCTGGAATTAGTTGTTCAGTTTGTGTTTTGGTTTTTCCAGTGTTTTACATTGTTATTTCCCAGATAGCTCTTATTTTCCCCATTTCCTTCAGACTACCAGCTGTAGTCTTTACAGTATATTCCAACTCCCACCTACATTATACTTGCATCTGGGATACTTGCAGAATGAGATTCAAAAGAAGGAAATGCCAGTTGCTTTGAGTTCCCCTCTTTTGACTCTTGACTCTCCAACATCATGAACCATACTTAATATTCTCAAGATCAAGCCTGAATTGCTTTAGTTCTCTGTTCCTATTCAGCAGATTGGACTATGCTACAAAACCACCAAACATTTGTCATGCACTTCTCAAGTTACTGTTTCTAAATGAGTGGTAATAGCCCATACTGGGAAATAACCTTGAGGAATAACTTATTTCCAAAATTTCTTAAAACTGAAGTGCCTCAGTGATTCTATCTTCTTCCTTTCCTTTCACAGACCTCCTCTTAACTTTTCCCTATATGATAGGCTTTTTTCTCAGTAAATAAAATTTAGTTTTGAAGCCTTCTTAACTAAACCATAACTGACCCCCACAATAATTAGAAATGCCTCTGAAGTTTTAGAAGGCATTTGAATGTTGCTAATCTAAAAATATAATAGAAATGTGTTAGACATGTGATCTTGCACAATTATTTCTAGCCCATTTCTGTGTGCTTGCTATATCAACATCTATATCTTATACTTACATATTTTTTTCCTTTTCTTTTTTTTCTTCTCTTTTTGTTTTTGTCTTTGTCATGGGGCTTGAACTCAGGGCCTGGGCCTGGGCCCCTTTCACACAAGGCTAGCACAGCTCCACTTCTGGTTTTTGAGTGATTAAATGGCGATAAGAATCTTATGGGAAATTTTCTGCCTGGGCTGGCTTTAAACCAAGATCCTCAGCTCTCAGCCTCCCGAGTGGTTATGGTTACAGGTGTGAGCCACCAGCACTTGACTTATATTTTCCTTATGATCTGACATTGATTTATCCACTATATGTGTGCAGAATGCTTACTGTGCTATTGTTATAGATGCTAAGTATTTGGGGGGGGGGGGGTGAAATACAGTGTTGGTCTACACTGAGCAAAGAAGCCAGAGAGAAAGAATGTAGATTCAGAGGACTGGAGATATGGTACAGCAGTAGAGCACCTGCAGAGCAAGAATGAAGCCCTAAATTCAAACCCCAGTACTGCCAAAGGAAGGGGATGGGGGGAATGGAGAGAAGGAGGGAGAGGGAGAAGGAAAAGAAAAGGAAGAAGAGGGAGAAAGAAAGAGGAGAAAAGAGACAGGAGGAAGAAGAGGAAGACAGGGGAAAGAAGAGGAGGAGGAGAAAGATGAGGAGGAAGAAAAAAAGGAGGAGGAGGAAGAGGAGGAAGAGGAGGAGGAGGAAATAATAGGCTTCTATTCGAGTTGGGATTTTTTTTCCTGTGTTATTTCTAAGGTATCCCAGGCACCTAAAACAGTATAAACATCGGTGGGATGTTAAATAAGCAAATATTGAACACTAATTACAAGTGTGTTGAATGCTATGAAAAGAGTACAGGTATTATAGGGCATGTAAATAGGAAGCCTAGCCTACTCTAGGGGATTCTGTTGGATTAGTTCTCTAGAGAACAGGAACTGACAGAGGAGAGAACCATTCCTTTAAAGCAAGGTTCAATCAGTACCTGGTTTCCATTTAGCTCTCCTATTGCCCATGAGGTTTCAGTTATCTCAAAATTTTTAGTAACTATATTCTACAAATAAAAAAAGATGAATTCCTTAATACCTGCTTATAGAAATGAAAATAGAAGGCACTGTTTGAGTTTTCAAGCACATCTAAGTTGACTGGTGTTTCCTGCTTTCTTGCTGCTTGCGCTCTCACCCTGTTTTCTGTCCTGATTGGCAGGTGAAGGTGCCTCTTTGCACCCTTGTGATGACACATACTGTGGACCTTTCCCAGAATCTGAGCCAGAAGTGAAGGCTGTATCGAAATTCCTCCGGAAACACAGAAATCACATTAAGGCTTACCTCTCCTTTCACGCATACGCACAGATGTTGCTATATCCCTATTCTTACAAATACGCAACAATCCCCAATTTCGGCTGTGTGGTAAGTATTTGGCTCTCTATATAAAGGTGTGTGCCAGACACCATGGCTCCTTTCAGATGCTAAGGTGATCTTAGTAGTAGTGACAATAGCAAATATGTTGTGTTTATCCTAATGAGTATTGTATATGAACTCATTTGCTCTTCATAACTTGTTTTGGGACAGGTTTATATAGGCTAGCCTGGCCTTGAATTCAAGATGCTCCTGCCTTAGTCTCCTGAGTACAAATATTATAGTTGGGTTCCACCATGCCCAACTTCTTCATAATTCTTTTTTTTTTTTTTTTTTTTTTTTGGTCTGTCGTGAAGCTTGAACTGTGGGCCTGGGCACTGTCCTTTAGCTCTTCAGCTCAAGGCTAGCACTCTACCACTTGAGCCACACCACCCTTCTGGTTTTCTGAGTGGTTTCTTAGAGATAAGAGTCTCACAGACTTTTCTGCGATCCTCAAATCTCAGCTTCTTGAGTAGCTAGGATTACAGGTGTGAGCCACCAGTGCCTGGCTTTTCATAATTCATATCTCCAATTTACAGATAAGGAAACTGAGGTCCAGGAAGATTATATAGTTATGTTAAGGACACATGGCTACTAATGTTCACCTTTTCCAGGACTCATCACCAAGTGTAGCTCCAGAGTTGTTGATTTTTAACCATTGCTTCTCACAATGCAATCATTTCCAGCTGATTTTCATTCTTACCACGGGTTACATAGAAAAGGTCAAGATGGATTTGATTAGTATTACAGTCTGGGTCACATATGCAGGACTGTAATTAACTTTATTGAGTCAATAATCGTTCATAAATTATAGTCTAACTCTCATTAATTAAAAGCAAGTTTAATTAATAAGTGCTATTTGCTTAATGCTAGTACGTCTCTGGGCATGCGTCTGACAAGCTACAACTAAGAATGAGCAGGCTTTCAGCCAGAAGATTACTTTAAAGTGAAAATGGAAGAGCTCCCTTTTTCTTATCTCAAAAACCCAACAAGCATAATTCATCATAAAGTGAGTTCATTTCAGAGCCTATAGCACCTAAAGGCCTGTAAAGTTCAAAACCAAGAAAAACTAATACATAAAAATTTTAGAAGTTAGGACAGCAATTACTTTTGAGGGAAAAATGGAGGCAGGGAAGCAGTCGTGGGAAAAAAAAAACAAAACCACAGGAATTCTAGGTTGTTCCCATTGTTTGATCCTTGACTGGGGTACTGGTTACAAGAATGCGCTTAACTTGTCAACATTCACTGAGACATAAAGTTACATTTTGTATTCCAGCCTGTATGAATGTTTGAGAAATTGTTGTTGCTTAATTCCTGGCATCAAACATGTAGTATTTTCTAACACCACTTCTCAGACACAAACTATGTGGTGCCCAATTCAATTCAATTCTAACACCAACTACCCAGGATTCGTGGCAGACTGCCTCCATGTTATAGATCCACCGTAAGTAGGTGGTTCCCGTGTTACCTAACTGAGTGACTTGGCTGAACAGTCCCAGAGCCCATCAGCCTCTCCTGAGTTTCAGTAATTCACTGGAATGATTCAGTGACTCTAGGAGAGTGCTTTACTTACACTTACTAATTTATTTTAGAGTACCCAACTCAGGAACGGCCAAATGGAAGAGGTCACTAAGATAAGGGAAAGAGAAGAGGGGAAGGGCCATGGAGCTTCTTTCCCTCCTCCAGGTAAACCACCTTCCTAGTACTTCTACATGCTCACTAATCCTGTCCTCCAAACCCCAAGGGGCTTTATAAAGGCAACATTACCTATGCATAGTTGAACATATCATTGTCCATTGGTGATTCAACAAATCTCCACAAAGGCTAGGATATCAGGCTAAAAGTTCCAGGGCTTTCTGATACTAGACCTCTATCCTGAATTTATCTAGAAGCTTCCAGTTACCAGTCATCTCTCAAAGACTCATCATTCTTGAAGTTCTAAGTGTTTTAGAAACTACATGTCAAGAACCCAGAACTAAGACCAAGTATTTATTTATTTTTATTATATTATGATACTAAAAGCATTTTTATTAAAGAGGAAGACACATTTCCCTTTACATTATACCTGGAACTCTAAACCCTGCACCAAACTGCTTGGGGTTTCAGAAATTTCTAGTGTAGATGGACAAGGCCTAAAAGGAATAGAGGATGTAAAGAATCAACAAAAACCCTGGGGGAAAGCTTTTTATTCTGACCAAAGTGAGCTTTGTTCTTAGCATTCCAAAAATTCTGAACAAATTCCTTCTCTTTGCAAAAAGAGTCAGCTATGCTGTGGGTCAAATAGGCTTCCACTCAGTTGCTATGGCTTCACTATAGCCATTGTTTTTATTGACCTGACACCCTGGACACCTATATCATAATATTTCTATAGGCAAACATTCAAACCTTTTGGGAACAAAGTCTATTTATATTTGTATAACAGATGATAAGGCATTTGCAGTAAATAAAAGCATTCTTGGTGAGAATGTTTTCTATATTTTAAAATCCATCCTCCTGCCATAAGTTCAGCTTATTTTCTTTTGGTCTTCAGTTTGGAGGATGTGGCATAAGGGTAAGTCAACAGTTAATAGCCATGAATGCATTTGCTTCCCAATCAGCTTGTAACAGTGTCAGGAGGCACAAGAGGGAGGAGGGATGGCATCTAGAGGATAGAGGCCAAGGTTGAGACTAAATATTCTATGATGCATAGGGCTGCCCCTTTCCCCCACCGTAGTGAATAACCATTCACTAAACAAGTCTCTAATGCCATTGGTTAGAAATCCTGAAGTCTGGGGCTGGGAAGGTGGCTCAGTGGTAGAGCGCTTGCCTTGCATGCCTGAGGCCCTGGGTTCGACTCCTCAGCACCACATAAGCAAAAAGAAAAAAGCTGGAAGTGGCGCTGTGGCTCAAGTGGTAGAGCGCTAGCCTTGAGCTGAAGAGCTGAGGGACAGCGCCCAGGCCCAGAGTTCAGGCCCCACAACTGGACCCAAAAAAAAAGAAAAGAAAAGAAATCCTGAAGTCTGTTAAGCGTAAGATTAATCGTTGAAACTAAAATTTAAAAAAAAGTTCTCAGAAACTCAATCCTTGACTCTTAAGCAGAAATGAATAAATTCTGCCAGAATGGTTCAAAAACATCCCATCCATATTTGAGTCATTTTCTGCTACCGTTTAAAGTCATTAAGTCACTTGAAATAAAGAAATATGTAAATAAAAATGTGTTCCTTACTTAACTAAGGACTAGTAAGTAAGGCTTTGTTCCTTTTGAACAATTGGAAAGAAAAAACAATGGAAAAAGAAGGATCAGTGGGAATCAGTGCTCATGCTGTAATCAAGGCTTAGGTCTGAGGGTCACAGTTCAAAGCCAGACCAGGCAGACAAATTCAAGAGACTCCAATTGTCTTCATAAAAACATAAGTAAAGGTGTGGCTCAAGTAGAAGAGCACGAGCCTCAAGTCTAAAAGCCAACGAAGAGCACAAACCCCTGAGTTCAAACCACAAAATAGCACACTAAAAAAGGATTACTTGATCACTTAAATAGTCTTTTAAAGAGGTCTAACTGTATCACTAAAAAGAATTCTTAGAAAATCCAATGAAACTTCTCCTTTCTGTGCATAAATCATATCTAAACTCTTTATCAATATATACCTATATACAAATGGCAGATGTACAGTGAACTCATAAGGTTAAAGCTAGGTAAAATTTTGTATAAATAAGCAAGGTAGCTTTTTTTCCTTTTCTGTGGGTTTGGTTTTCTGAAATAATGAGAAACAAAAGTCTTCTGGTTAGCAGAATTCAGAATCCTCTAAATGTAGAATATCTTCCCTTGCTATGGAATATTGCTATGGCTGTTGGAGAAGATGCTGAAATCTTAGAAGAGTCTCCATGAAGACAGCTCATTATGTTGTTTACATCCTTTTTCTGTTGGCTCCTGTGAGAAGAATACCATCATCACTGAGATCAATAACAAGTAATCTGCTGACTCTTAGAACCTGGTCCCTGAACATTCACAAAGGGTACCATTTGCTACAAACCCTGCCTTGTGAGTCCCTGAGCTGAATGAGGACACCAATGTTGGACTCAGACCAACACACACCACAGTGTTGTCCAGAGTGCTTCAATTAAAGTATTAAATTATTCATAGGCAAATAGAAATGGGAGAAATGCATACTGGTTTCAATATACTTCTCTTCCTCTCACTTGTTATACAATACTTGTCTAACTCCTTGTGAAAAAGGCATGCTTTAGGATGTTTTAAAGGACAGATCATATCAGAATCTCCACCACTTAGGATTTTGATTATGTTGAGGATTTTTCCTGACTTTTGACATTAATAACAGGAGCTCCACCTTAGAATTTCTGCACATACCTAAGCCCTGTGAGAGGTGACTGTAACTTTAGAAGTCATGAAGCATTCTGAAACTGATGTTCTTGTTTCCACTAAGGAGAAACACAAAATAAGAGAAGCCAGTCAAAGAAGAGAAGGAGGTGGGAGACAATGGCAAGGAGGAGGGGGAAGGAAGAGCAGGAGGAAGAGGAAGAGGAGAAAAAAAGAAAAAGAAAGAAAAGAAAGAAAGAGAACAGCAGCCACCACCACCAATCTTTATCTGCTGCTTTTTAAGTGGTCCAGATGTATTTTAAATACCTTGTATTTATCCACTAAAACACTGAGCCTTTGAAATATATACTTAAGGTTCAATATGATTGCCTTAATACTCTTGCAGGCATGCTTACTCAACACTCAGATGAAAAATATTGATTAAGCATCTGTTATACCCTGACAGATTACTAAAGACTGGATAGAGCTTTTAGTAAGACTAACATTGCTCTTGCTCTGTCAAACATTCTGGAGCAAACAGTAACTGGTATCTCTAAACTACATTGAAGAGGAAAAGACACAAAGTCAGTCTCAAAAAATATGGATATTGCAACAATGAGATGTACAAGTCGTTACGTCAAAAATGAACTTTACAACTTTAGTGGGGGGGATTGGGTGGGGAGGGAGGGAGGAAAGGAAGGGATGGGAAGGGGAAACAAAGGAGGAGGCTACAATGCTTGATAAGAAATGTACTCATTATCTTGCCCATGTAATTGTAAACCCTCTGCACAATATTTTCACCATAAAAAAAGAGAAAAAAATATGGGTACTTATCACAGCTTACTCCATCTTTGCTCCATAGTCCCAGCATACCCACTGGACTACTGAGCCTGTTTTACTTACCTGTAGAATAGAAATGTTATTGATCACTGGTTTACTGTGAGGATAACCCCCAATGAAAGGATATGTTGTAAAGTATATTTCAGTCCTCAGCACCACAAAAACTAAATGTAAAATATGTTGCAAAATATACCATATGATCTAAGAGTAAAATAATATTGTTATTAAAAATACTCATTAACTAATGTACCCATGGGTATTCTGTATAGTGATAAACAAGAATTAAGCCCCATATCAATGTTGCTAGAAGTTTCAATACAACAATACAGGTTTTTTGGTTGTTCTTGTTTCTTCCCAGGAATCTGCAGCTCATGAAGCTGTAAAGGCTCTTCAGTCTGTACATGGGGTACAGTACAAATATGGACCTGCCTCCAGCATGTTGTGTAAGTTTCCTGTGTATGCTATGTGTATGCTATGAGACCCATCTCTTAAACCAATATCTTATGCCAGGACTTCCTTTTAAAAAGGAGAGTATATTCTCCTTAAAGTGAAATTTGTGACTATCAACTTGGCCAAAGGAAGATGGAGGGAGTTTCTGTCTGATTAGTTTTACACAGCCTGACAAAAATCACTGTATTAATTTAAACAAATTCTAAGCTGAGAATATGCTAAGTGTGTGGTAATAACTAGGACTTGAATTGAGATACTTTTCACAGCAGAAAACACCAAAATGGTGCTTTAAGCAATTGCAAGTGGTATAAGGTTAGAGATGGGCCTCAGAAAGATAATGAAGTAAGTGTTTCACCTCTACAATAGCTTCCTTTTCATTCCTTTCCTTCATTGTTCTAGCTATGAAATGCTTTTTTGCACATTGCACCTACAGCTGAATTTCCTCTTGAAAGGTTATTTAAGTCTTTCTCATTTTATATGAAATAAGGAAACATGAAATGAACTTAGACAAAGATCTGGAAGATGTACTTTTTTTAGTCCTAAATAGGTTGCACATACCATTCTAGCCAGAATTATTAATCTAGGCTTCAGTTTCCAAAATAGAAATATTATTGCAACATAAGAAATTGCAATTGAGGGCTGGGAAGTTGGCTCAGTGGTAGAGTGCTTGCCTTGCATGCCTGAGGCCCTGGGTTCAATTCCTCAGCACCACATAAGCAAAAAAGAAAAAACCCGGAAGTGGCGCTGTGACTCAAGTGGTAGAGCGCTAGCCTTGAGCTGAAGAGCTGAAGGACAGTGCCTAGGCCCAGAGTTCAGGCCCCACGACCGGACCCAAAAAAAAAAAAAAATTGCAATTGATCCTTTCTCATGGACTTTCAAATTCTAAAATGTTATTAACTTGATTACCTGGAAAATCCAACAAGAAATATAATTGCCTGTGTATGTTTATAACTGTAAACAATATGGTATGTGAGTATGTAAATATTAACATCTGATTATGCTTCTCAGTAAGGCAGCAAATTTCTCCTTGACTTTCTCAAGCTAGCTGCCCTTAATGCCCTACCTCTCATTTTCTTCTGCCTTTAGAACAGAGCTTGGCATGTCCATTACCATTGCTTGTCTAGTAAGTTTACCCTAATAATGAGAATAATATAAGTATCGAGATTTTTTTCAAAGCGCATGATCATTGGTCTCATATTGCTGACCTTTTTAGAACTATCTTTTTTGTTTCTGTTATTGTTCTTTTTTTTTCTTCTGAAGAGAGTCTCTGTTTATGTAGTCCAGGCTGGCCTCACACTGGCAATCTCTCTGTCTCAGCCTCCCGAGTGTTAGGTTTACTGGCATCTACCACTATACCAAGCTACAGCTGTTTTTCAATAGAGGGGGGGAAAAATCCAACAGTATAGAAAGGAAATCACATTCCCAACAAACACCAACATAATATGGATATGGGCAATTTTAAAACATGAATTTTACATGTGTGCCAGACCTGGGGCTTGAACTCAGAACTTAGGCACTGTCTGAACTTTTTTGCTCAAGGCTAGTACTCTACCACTTGAGCCACAGTTCTACTTCTGGCTTTTTTGGTGGATAATTGGAAATAAGAGCCTCATGAGCTTTCCTGTCCAGGCTGGCTTTGAATTACCATTCTCATATCTTAGCCTCCTGAACAGCCAGAATTATAGGCATGAGCCACCAGCAACTGGCTTGAAACAATTTTTTAAATTATTTTTTGTCGGTCATGAGGCTTGAACTCAGGGCCCACGCGCAGTTCCTAAGCTCTTTTTTGCTCACTGTATTACTTTGAGCCACAGCATCACAGCTCCACTTCCAGATTTTGAGTGGTCAATTGGAAATAAGAGTCATACTGCGACTTTTCTGCCCAGGCTGGCTTGAAACTGTGATCCTCAGATCTCAGCCTCCTGAGGAGCTAGGATTGCAGGTATGAGACACTGGTGTGCCCCACTGAAACATTAATTTTTAAAATCTCATGAATAGTTCACATTTTCAGCCTAGCATAAAGGCACAGTCATAGTTATGTTTATGGAGAATAGTCTGTTACCATGGAAATGAGCGGTTCACATAACCCTCACATAGCAGTGGGCACATACTGTCTCTGGCTTTGGCCACTGTGACTACTGTTTCTAGTTCCAATGTTCTCTAACCAGAGGGACATTGGAGCCACAGCTGAGGTGAACTTAACCAACACAAGAGGAATCTGAAAGACAGCAGAGCCATTTAGCTGTCATTTTTCACATTATGATTCTCTTCTAATTGATCCTAAGAACAACAGTAGAAAAAAGTAATTATGCATAAATAAACATTCTCTGGAAAGTTAACAACAATAATAGTATTATATCAAAGTGGATCATATATAGTTTAATTTGAAAGAAGAATAGAAATTTCTTTTCTTTTTTCTTTTCTTTTTTCTTTTTTCTTTTCTTTTTTTTGCCAGTCCTGGGATTTGAACTCAGGGCCTGAGCACTGTCTCTGAGCTTCTTTTGCTCAGTTAGCACTCTACCACTTGAGTCACAGTACTACTTCCGGCTTTTTCTGTTTATGTTGTACGGAGGAATCAACCCCAGGGCTTCATGCATGCTAGGCAAGCCACATTCCAAGCCTGAATAGCACATTTTTCTTTGAACAATTATTCATTTAATGATTCATAAGAGCTCATATTAAAAACTACAGTCTAGATGTTGGGGATATAAAGATGTAAAATAATGATTTCAAATGATCTATATTCTTTTCATTTCACAACAACCCCATCTACTTTTTGAAGACACTGAGGCACACCACACAGGAGGTGGTGTGCTGGAGACAGGGCATGAAGGCTGTCTTTAGTGCCTCTGTTGCCAGCTCTGTGCTTGTAAAGTCACAGGGCCAGAAGGCAGAGCTGCCAGCACGGATCATCAGCTATATAAAGTGCTGTGGAGAGGCTGAAAGTAGGACCTGAGGGGAAAACAGAAACCAGAAAAAGAGATTAAGCTTGGAGTTCTTGGTGGCCTTCCAGAGCAGTGTTAAATGGATAAGTAGAAATGAGAACCAGATTGAAGTCAGGTGCTGGTGGGTCACATCTATAATATCAGCTTCTCAGGAGGCTGAGATCCAGAAGATTGTGGTCCAAAGCCAGTCCAGGCATAAAAAGACCTCCAAGATAACCAGCAAAAAGCTGAGCTAGAGGTGTGGCTCAAGTGTTGAGGCTTCAGTTGAACAAATGAGCTAAACTAATGTTTTGTTAGTCCTGAGGTCTAACATATTACTAGAAAAAGAAAAATAATCTGCAAGACTGAAATTGCTTAAGGATGTAGAAGCAGCATATCTAAATTCTTTGTTGAGTTCTCAGGCAAAGAAGAAAAAGAGAATGGTCACCAAGGGTGTGTGGCCTGGGCAGGTGGAATAAGGAACCTTCAGGTATTCTGGCCAAGACAAATGCAGATGTAAGAGAAAGGGAATGAACCAAACTAGGTCCTAAGAAAGAGATCCTCTCCTTTCCGAGAAGATGGTAACAATTGGTGTCAAGAGGTGACAAGAAGAGATGAGAAGGAATCAGAGAAGCCACATTTTAAAGGATCGAATCTTGGAGTCTTTATTAGACCACTAGCAGTCCACAAGCAGCCCATTGTAACAAAGGCCCACAGCCTGAAAATACACTTAACACTGTTAGGAAGCAGGCCCTGCGAGGAAACAAAGAACAAAGACAATACCAACAAACCAATTCAGACAATACCAACAAACTAATTCAGCTCTGATCGGAGCTGAATTGGGAGCCCAGGAGACAGGACACAGGGTGCTAACACGGAGACACATAGCATGGCATAATGGCCCTATGCTGTTCCATGCCTAAATAGAGTCGGGGCAGGGGGCAGGTTCACATGAATTCCCAGTTCCAGACACCGGACTGACAGGTCCAGCAACCCATCAGCCAAGTGCCGGCCCCTGCCTCCAAGGATTCCGGCATGCCCATCACCTGGGAGGTGGGATCATCATGAAGACAAGATGCCAGACTTTACCATTAACTATGTGGCCAATATGGTGCCTGTCAGACCTGACCTCCCTACCTCACCTTAAGTATGAAACTATTAAAAAAAAAAGACGGAGGGGAGGGGGCGGAGAGGGGAGCTAGGAGCATCATGGGAGCAAAAAAAGACTTTAATGTGACAACTGAAACACTTGGCGGATTTGCAAAAAAGGTTTTGCAGAAAAGGGACTGAGGGGAGTGGGGGGGAGTTAGTGATTTAGTGATTGCCTTGGCCAGGTGAGGACTCCTATGAAACTAGAGTCCTAAAACTCCAAGCTAAAGGCTGAGAACAAGTTTAACAAGAGAGAACTAGGGAGGCAGAAAGAATAAGGAAGTTTTCTGGAAACAAAGTTTCAATATTTTAGACCTTGAAAGGAAAGAAGAACTGAGTGCTCAGAACTAAAAACAGAAAGCAAACATCAGTAGGTAAAACTAGATCTTGAGCCACTCCATGATCAGGCTTTATACTCTTGGTGACTCAGGAAGCTGAGATCTGAGGATCAAGGTTCAAAGCCAGCCAGATATCCAGAGGAAAGTCCACGAGATTCCAATTAACCACCAAAAAGCTGCAAGTAGAGCTCTAGCTCAAGTGGTAGAGTGCCAGCCTTCAACAAAAAAAAAAAATTTTTAAACAGAAAGGAAACCCCTCCAGCTTCTAAGTTCAAGCCCCAAAACTGGTACCAAAACCCAAAACCAAAACCAAAACAAGTTCTTCAAAGATGGTAGCAGATACAATTTATAAATTGCACAAGTCTATGTCAAGTAACTGTCAATCCAAAAGGTATATTATTGGAATGATGCTTAGTAAGCAGGATAATTTAAACATTTTGAAAAATTGTGCAGAGTCTTAAGTAAGGCTAATTTTTTTTTAACTTGTAGATGTAAGCTCTGGTAGCTCCTTGGATTGGGCTTACAAAACTGGAATACCCTATGCATTTGCTTTTGAACTACGTGACACTGGGCATTTTGGATTTTTACTCCCAGAGATGCTCATCAGACCCACCTGTATGGAGACAATGCTGGCTGTGAAGAATATCACGATGCACCTGCTGAAGAAGTGTCCCAAAGAACGCAGAAGAGTCAATTCTGCCACATGAGAGCAGAGTTGGGCCCAAGACCACATGGCACAGGGTAGAAGTCATTTTTTTAAAGAAGGGTCATTGGGTAGACTGAACATACCAAAGACTTTCAAAGGACCTTCTTGTACAAGTTGACACTTTGTAACAATAAAAGATGGTTTAAAAAAATTGGGGACTAGCCTAGTGTGTGATAGGAAATGGCATCTCTTTTATTTTCCTTCAGAGTATTATTTGATTCCAAGTTCCTTTGTCTCAAGAAATGTACAAATTAATTGAGGATTTCCCTTCAAGAACTCTCATACCACTCAGGTAAGATCTAGGCTACTAATGATGTCAAATTACCTGGTTGTTATTTGGATAGAAATAGAAATAATAGAACCAGTTGTATTTCTTCTGTGTGTGTGTGTGTGTGTGTGTGTGTGTGTGTGTGTGTCTGTGTGTCTGTGTGTCTGTATTTGCTTGTACATGTGCACCGGTTCTGGGGCGGGAACTCAAGGCCTGTCCTCTCACTTGGCTTTTTTAACTCATGGGTAGCACTTTACCACTTAAACGATGCCTCTTGTTCCCTGACTGTAATTCCTAATAAACAGACAATTTTTCAAGATTTTAGGTTATTCTGTTCTGATTCCCCTAGTATTAGCATACCATGTGCCTATAAAATTATGACAAAATGGAACAATCTATGTTTTAACTCAGAAACAGCCTTTTAAAAGTAAGAGAATATATTTACTGAGGGGCCAGATCCAGGGGTAGGAACTTTACACTAACAATCTCACTGATTCTTCACAAAACATATTTCAAGTGAAGAATATGAGGCTTAAAAGGTAAAATAGACTTGCAAGAAGATGGCAGGATAGATACTAGCCCTGCTAGAAATAACTATAACTCTTGGACAAAATCTAAGTTTTTGGTTTCTTTTTTTGGGAGGGTGGGAGGAGTTGGGTTACATAGGCTCTTACCATGTAACCTCAGCTGGACTTGATCTCTTGCTCTTTCTGCCTCAGCCCCCAAAGATGCAAGGATTAAATGCATTCACTACCATGCCTGCCTTGTAACATTTTAATCATCTTAAAATCAGCAGACAAGAAAATAAGGAAATCTCTAGCCAGGCCTTGAATAAAGACTGAAACCAAGAAACTTAACTGGTACACTGCGATCCTGAAAGCATCAAATCAGCTTATTGTGACTTGGAATCCCACAGATTTGGGGGAATGAGACCAGAGAAAAAAGCTCAGGACTAATCCAAGTTGGGAAGTCTAATAGATTCTTCTAATAGAACTCTAGAATTCCTAATGATTGCATCTTCGGTGTAAGGATAAATTAGAATCAAATCCCTACACTTCTTCTAATGGACTACAAGGGAAACTGGCTGTTTCAAATTTGGGCAAGAATAAAGTAGAAAGAAATTGCCACTGAGAATGTGGAACCAGAATCAGTCCTCACACAGGCTCACAGCCCAATTCAGCCTGTTTAACTGATCCGATCAATCTGTAGCCAAGAATTTAATTCAGATTAATCCTAGACTGGCAATACCCCCAAGCATTTAATCGAAGCAAATACAAATCTTCTTAATATATTTGTCTGCCCAACACATATGAACACTAGGGTAAAGGATGAGCCTTAAAAACTTTCAGAGGGGGGAAAAAAACTTTCAGAGGGGAGAAAAAGAGCCCAGAAAAAAGAGCAAGTACTTAAGGGGAATGAAATTTTACAACTGCATCATTAAAACTTGAAGACAGTGAAGAAATGTCTTCAGAGTTTTGAGGAGGGTGTGAGGGGGAACTATACCTAATAAAAGTATTGTTAAACTAAAGATAGAAAATAGACATTTTCATATAAGTGAGGTCTTAACCATTCTCAAGAAGCTCCTGGAGGATGTGTTCTACTACAATGAGGGAGTAAACCAAGAGAAAAATGAAGGCTAAAGGAACATGGGGAGTCTGACACAGGGGAAGGAATGGGAAAGAATCAAGATAATGGAGAGAAGAAACCGCTTGCTATAGAATTCACAGAACAATATGGAGCAGAAGGAAAAAAACTAAAGACCTCAAGTGAATAATGAGGATAAATGTGAAGGGGACAGAACATGTAAATACAGCCAGAGGCAAAGTTTTACATAGAGAATAGCAAATTGAGGATACATTCCTAGGAACACAGAAAACCAAAACAACAATACAATGTTATTTTTTAAACTGGTATAAACAATGAGTTATAAGACAAGAAATGGAATTCTGGTGTGCTTTGTGATTCAGCTATAAATAATACTTACATAGTCAAATAACATTAGATATAAATACACCCGAAGGCTAGGAAGAAGGAAAAATATGCAAGAGGAGAGGGTAAAGGGAACTAAATCCTCATCTTCCATAGAAGGAAATTAACAGGCAATCTCTAAGACTGAAAAAGCAAGAAATATCTGTATATTCATGTGATTTGGGAATGATGAAGTAAATACTAAAAGGAGATTTAAAATGACTGGACTAATGAAAAGGAATTGAGAGAATGAAGGGATGTAACAAATGATTCTTGTTTATAGCATAAGTCCTTTGCCATATTTAGCAAGTTTCATTTTTTCAATTGGGAAATAAGCATATAAGACCATATTCCTTTTAAAGGAAAATAATAATTAGTAAAAACAAACTCTCAGCCAAGGATCAAAGGCTCACACCTATAATTCTAGCTATTTGGGAGGCTGAGATTTTTGGACTCACAGTTTGAGGCCAGCCCAAACAGGAAAAAAAAAGTCCATGAGATTCCTACTCATTGAAGACCTAGACATAGTAATGTACGTCTCTATTATCCTAGATACCAGGAGACCTAACATAGGTGAACTGCACCCAGTATGTGCCCACGCAGGAAGCAAGACCCTCTCTACAAAATAGCTCTAGCAAAAAGCAGGGTGAGAGATAGGAGTTGGTGGTCAGAGGACCCATTTAAGAAGCTTGAAGCCCCTCATTTAATCCCCAGCACTGCTTAAAACAAACAAAAACACTCAAAGACTCATTTTTTAAAAATCTCACTATGTGTACCTCAAGATAGTCTGGGAACTACTGTGTAGCCCAGGCTGTCCTTAAACTTGACAGTTCCCTGTCTCCACCTCCTGAGTGCTAAGATTATGGGAGTGCAACCCCATACCCAGCCAAACTTTTTTGCTTTGTTTTGGTTTTTCTTTGTAATGCTAGGCTTCCAAATCTAGACTTTGCATACGGTAGGATTGCAGGTATGTACCACTATACCCAGTTCAGTCTTTCTGATGTTTATAAAATATATATTTATTATTTCTATAAAAATTACAGTGTTGAATTCTAAAAACACTAAATGATACTATATGGAAATGTACAGCAACGAGACTAGAATTTTGAAAAACATCAGTAAATATTAATTTTGCTTATGTCACCAATCTAATTTGTGAGATATTATTTTTTTCTTCAGTCTCACTGTGTAGCTGAACTCTCAAATGACCTCAAGCTCTCAATCATCCTTAGTGCTTAGAGCTTCCTTAGTGCTGGAATTATAGACATGCACCATCACATTAATTTATATTGCCATTATTATTACTATTTATTATTATTATTATGAGTTATTACCACTCTGGGGTTTGAATTCAGAGCTTTATACTTGGTAGACAGATGTTCTACACAATTGAGCCATGCATGCCCTCACCTATTTTTGCTTTAGTTATTTTTCAGTGAGATCTCCAATTTTTGCCTAGGTTGGTCTCATTCCATGATCCTCCAACTCTGGCTCTGCATAGTTGGGGTAACAAGTGTGTACCACCTCACTCAAATCATGATCCTCCCAATCTCTGCCTTCTGAGTAAATGGGATTACAGGCATAAGCAACTGTGCCCAGCTTCCTAACTTATTTCATAGTCCCAGGAACATATTTTCAGGACAAGATTTCAGATAAGTTTGAAGTTCAGTTCTACTAAGGGACTTACCCTCTGATAATTTGAATTTCTACTCTTCCCAACTATTAATAAACACTTGGAAAACCAGGAGATTAGGGAGTCTGGTTTAGCAAAAGCCAAAATGTCCAGAATAGGGCTGGGAAGGTGGCTCAGTGGTAGAGCGCTTGCCTGAGGCCCTGGGTTCGATTCCTCAGCACCACATAAGCAAAAAGAAAAAAGCCGGAAGTGGCGCTGTGGCTCAAGTGGTAGAGTGCTAGCCTTGAGCTGAAGAGCTGAGGGACAGCGCCCAGGCCCAGAGTTCAGGCCCCACAACTGGACCCAAAAACAAAACAAAACAAAATGTCCAGAATAAACAGGAGGGTTAGTGGGGCTGCTGTCTTTCAGGAATAGAAAGGCGCTCCTTCTCAGAACACACCAACTAGCTGATCTTGTCTGGTAACTTTCATGGACCCTTTGTTGCCAGGAAATCGTGCCCTTTTGTTGGGGTGCACTATATAGTCTCTGCTCTGTTAGGCTCCTGTGTCCAGATCCTTTGCTGGTGTCGACTGATGTCTTTTCACCAAGCTTTATCATCCCTCTGATGCCCAAACAAAGCTCAACTCTTGAGTATTCAGGAGGGAAAAAATTAAGAACTCACAAATAACCCTCAAAATTCATTTTTCATCATATTCACTTTCTTTTCTTTCTAAACTCACCTAGCAAGTTAATAGAAGTAAAATTTGCATTGGCTTATTTGTCCACTTCTATCACATAATGTAAGTGCCAAGATTAGTTTTTCCTAAGTCAAAATAAGGGCAATAGAAAATATACAATCTCAATAATCCAATAAGCTCCTGAGTACATAGTTTTCCTTACTAACCATGGATAGATTCGAGATGTAATTTTGCCTTGATGAACCTCATGTAAATTCTTTTCCATGATTACTCTCACTTTTCAGTAGCACTGTATACATTTTATGGCTCAAGTTCTATAAGTGGGTATTTTAATATTTATAGGCCATTTTCCTTTTTAATCTTTTTAAGCTAAGCCACAGGATGTGCTGTGGGATGATTTATGTTCAAGGCACTCTGCAAGGTACTGTATGTGAAGAACAGAAGTGTTATATTTG